GCATCGGCAGGCGGACTCTCAACCACTGCGCCACCAGGGAAGCCCTGACTATTTAATTTTTACTTCCTTGTTTACTGGCGAAATTTTTAAGGTTTGTTATTTGCATTTCATAGAAAGCCCATTTTAAAAATCTTTGAGCCGTAATAGATTAGTTACGACAGTTTTGTAAATAAAACTTCACTCAGCTAGCTCAAGTCCAGAGAGGAATGCATTAGGTGAGTGCTGGGATGTCTCAAGGACCTCTCTTTGGTTCAGAGAAGGTGACAGATTGGGATGTAGAATCTTAGTCCTAATTCCAGATCTCAGGGGAAGGACTGTCGTCCAGCATGAGTCAGGCACGCATGACTGGACCAGTCAGCCGTGCCCCAGGAACACATTCACGTATCCACTTGGGTGCTCTTGGCCGAGCCATTAGTCCATGCAGGGGGCAGGAGGTGGCGGAAAAGGCCAGTCCTAGAAAACAGGCAAAGAGCAGTTCACAGAAAAACGTGAGGGCTGAAGAGACCAAGCAGGAGGTGCTCACCGCATCTGCAGAACTGCTGCTGCTTTTTTATTATGAACATCTGAGTGTGGAGCATCAGCTGTGTCCCTGACAGGAGAGGAAGCTGCCGCTGAGCCCTCCATGGCTGGCTCCTGCTCACAGCGGTTCCCTTCTCTGCTTTGGCCCTTGTCAGGCAGTGGGAGTGTGGCCCCATTGGGTGTTAGAGCCCTACAGGAAGTGTCCAGCTGGGGGAGCACAGAGGGGCATGTGATTGGAAGGTGACAGTCATTTACTCCCTGAAACAGTCCCTTTTTTTTTTTTGGTTTTTTGCTTGTTTTGGCCATGCGGCTTGTGGTGCCCGACCAGGGATTGAACCTGCACCCTTGGCAGTGAAAGCGAGGAGTCCTAACCGTTGGACCACCAAGTCCCTTGAAGCAAATCCCTTTGAACTCTGTCCACAACCTTCTTCACATGTGCTTTGACTACTTTCAGTGAAGGGCCAAGAGGATTTTTTTCACTGGGAAAGCTGGACGAAAGCCCTGACTATTCAGCTTCTTTTATTTCCTCTTGGGCAGCCACTGACATTTAAAAAGGGGAGGCGGGATTAAAAAAATAATTTTTTAATAAGGGGAGTTGGGGTAGCTCCATACTCCTTGATATAGTTTTTCCTTGCAGTAATGGTCTTGGCAATAATGTTCTAAGACCCATACAGATTCTCTTTTACCTACCAGGACTGTGTTGGCTCAAGTTGTATATTTACTGTGTATATATAGTCTCTTAAACCCCTCAGGACTTTTAAATGAGAAAAAGAAAGCAGCTTTGGCCGACACAAAAACATGCTCAGGAATTCTGAAAAATCAGAGTTCCATGAATGCCACGGGAAAAGACTCGGCGGAGGAGTCTTGCTTTGGTGCTCCTGAGCCCGACTCAGGAGCCAAGATGCCAGGTCCCATCCTTAGATCCTCTCAGCCACTCGCCCTTCGCCCATTGAATCCTAGATGCGGGTTCTGGACAAGCTGATGGTTGAGCGACTCTCAGCAGAGAGGACGGAGTGCCTGAACCGCCTGCAGCAGCACTCGGACTCAGAGAAGCACGAGGGAGAGAAACGTCAGGTGAAAACCAGGATCTGTCCGTGCTGACCTTGCCACTTGCCACTCTTTTCCCCCCGAGTCAAGGGACTCGGACCCATCATTGAAAACTCCCAGGCCGAGATCCCCTAAAAGCGTTGGCGTCAAAGCGCGTGCCATTTTTATAACCTGAAATGAAGTCAGTAGGAAGGAGCCTGGAGTGTGGTTCCTGTTTGCGGCTGAATGTGCTGGCTGGAGGTGGAGGCGGGGCAGTTTGTAGAACATGCTGGGAAGCTGAGCTCCGCCCTGGATCAATGCTTTGTATGGCGCCCCTGCTGGGCCTGCACAAGATTGGGTTCCTGCCCTCGGGCAGTTTGCGGTCCACCCCGCAGCAGACGTGAAATGAGTACTTGTGAGCGTGTGAGTTCATGCGCCTAGCAGCCAGACGTGCTTGGTGTGGAAGCTGTGGGAAGCTTTGGCTGTTGGCGTCTCTTAAGTCGCTAATGAAGGTCATAGTTAGCTATCGGCTTGGGCGCTGGGTGAATCCTGGGCTTCAGAGGGCCAACAGAGAAGGCCGTGTGGCCTGTGGGAGGCGGGTAATCCAAAACTTTGGGGCTTGTCCAGAAAAGAGCCTATCACAGTCGAAAAGTCCACATTCTTGAGGTTTTAACTATTAAGCCATGTATCAAAGTCTCCTGATGATTTGTGTACTAACTTGTGGGGTTTTTTTAGATGTCCTTGGTGGATGAATTAAAAACTTGGTGCATGTTAAAGATTCAGAATCTGGAGCTGAAGCTTTCTGGAGATTCTAGGGCCTCCAGGACTAAATCCACACCATCCACTTGCGAGTCCTCCACAGGTAACCGACACCAACATGCAGAGAGAGCTCTTCCATCCAAAGGTGATGAAACCCCCCGGTCGCGTTCTCTTCTGCATCTGAAGGCAGTCTGTGTGACAGGGCTGCGGGAAACGCTGGATTGTAATGTGAACTCTGTAGGGGCAAGGACCATGCTTTGCCCACTACTGTATACACAGTTCCTATACAGTAATAAAGCACTCCTATTTAAGTGTTCAGGAATATTTGAATGAAGGAATAAAAGAATTGTTGATCCGTGATAGCAGTGCAATTTTGATGGTGTCAGAGTTGGACCCCAACGATGAGGGTGAGGAAAGGATGTGTTGTCTCAGAAGGGCACTCGCCCCTGCCCTTGTGACTCTTTCTTTTCTACCTTTGGCCAACTCCGTAGAGCCTCATTAAAAAACAGTTCATGTATCAAAGCTGCCCCAGGGGCTGGATAAGAGATGCTTTGAGCCAGAGCATCTTTACATTAGCTACAGTGGCTACACTCAATGATGATCAGTTGAGGACATTCATAGCCTTAGTAATTAGACCTCCATGGGGGGATTTTGATATGTCACGTGTTTCATGTCACCAGAGGCCATCTCTGTATTTGTGGTTTTATCTTCTTTGTGCCCATAACAGTGGGGAAAATCCTGGGCAAACTTTTCATGCTAGGACTAGTTACGGAACTTGGCATGGAGCTCTGGGTATGGGTAATAGGACTGCCTCTCCAAGTGGGAGCTTGGATCAAGGAACTAGTAACCGGGGCTATGGTCTGTAAAGGGCCCAGAAGTTAGAGAATGGGGGTATTGATTCTGATCAATAAATGCCCAATTCTGTTTAGGACAAGTAGTGAGATGTGTCATCCTTAGCAATCAGGAAATGGTACCCAGAGCCCTTTAGTGTAAATTGAGACAGGCTAAAGGCCAGTAACGTTTTTGGCTTAGATGCCACCAGCGTGTCTAACGCAACATCCCTGAAAGCCCTGACAAGCCAAGGTGATAATCAGGGGAGAAGTGGGGGGGAAGGACAGGAGAAGTTGCACACGGTGGGTGATGGTTTACAGGATTCCTGGGACTCTCAAATGCCAGCCCACGTGACTGTATGAACACGGATTTGCTCTGACTTTTGTTTTCCTTCCGAAACCAGGTGTGGATCAGTCAGTGGTGACCGCAGGTCCAGTAGCAGCCTCTGACAGCCCCCCTCAGGTGGTCAGGCCCAAGGAAAAGGCCCTCAGCTCCACAGCCGCCCACAGACTCCAGCACGAGCTGTCTTCCTTGGACTGTACAGGTTCCCGACTGAGGAGTGTCAAGGTCCAGACAGCCTCGTTACCCTTGAAAGAGGCAGCCAAATGCGACCCGCAGGCTGGGCCCTGTGTTGACAGAGGCACCCAAACCAAGAAGTCTGGGAAAAGTGGGCAGACGAGGCACCGCGGCCAGCAGCCAGCACCCAGCACCACCTGCGGGCAGCCGCCACCAGCAGCAGGTGGCGAGCAGACTGCCCCTCATACTCGGGACACTTCCCAAGCGCTGGAGCTCACCCAATATTTCTTTGAGGCTATTTCCACCCAGATGGAAAAGTGGTATGAAAGGAAGATTGAAGAAGCACGAAGCCAAGCCAGTCAGAAAGCCCAGCAAGACAAGGCCACGCTGGAGGAACACATTAGAAGTTTAGAGGAGGAACTTGCTAAACTAAGGACTAAGGTACACAAGGAAAACTAGGGCCTGGGAAGTGGGACGAGAAAGGATTCCTGGGACTTTCCTGGTGGTCCAGTGGTTGACTCTGTGCTTCCAGTGCTGGGGGCGGGGGTTTGATCCCTGGTCTGGGAACTAGGATCCTGCATGCCATGGGGAGGGCGGTGGGGAAAGATTCCTGAGGATTTCTGGTCCTGCAGCTGCAGAAGAGCTATGTACGAGGTGTCAGTGATTGTACACATAGCAGACCTTGCCTTTTAAAAAAAATCACTAATTTCTAAAACGTGCCAGACACATGCTTCCTATGCCCTGAAGTTATGAAGACTTCAACAATTAGACTGAAACTAGGGGACACTTGGTTTCAGGTTTCATTACAGATTTGAAACCTCAGCTCAAGTTCATCTGAAGTTCAAAAGCTCAGATTAAGCGAGCTGTGCTAAGAAACTGAAGGATGTGTAAGCCTAAACCCTAATATTCAGGATATGCAATAATGTAAATGAAAAGCAAGAAAAAATATTAATCCCTGTGCACTCAAGCAGTCATTCATATCAACATGCCTGCTGTGCCTGGACAGAGTGTCTTTCTGTAAGAGCTGTAACAGACACGCTGAACTCCCTCAAGTTCACAGTTCCCAAAATGCTGACATCTTAACCAGGGAAAACTCACCAAACAAACTCTGAGAAGGATTTTCATGATGTCACAAGATCCAGTATATCGTAAAATGTTTTGAAAAGTCAGAGTGTATTTAAATAATGGGTTAATTGGCTAATAGCACTGGGAATGTCAGTGAACTCAAAAGAGAAAGATTCAGATCACTGGATCATGGTTTCTGTATCTTTCAGCCAAAAGAAAGAAACAGTACAATTAATCATAGTGATTTTAAAGTGGATTAATGGAAAAAACATTCACGTAGCAATTACCTGAAATTTCTATAACCTAATTCACATTTCTGAATGTGAGCTTATTGGTCTACATTTTATAAAGAAATAAGGCTGTTTCTTGAAAGTATTTCATTTTGAACTGAGTTCTGTCATTGAAGAACCTCAAAAGCTTTCCACGGCTTTGCAGCGACTATGTCAAGGTAAAGAACGCAATACATTGACTTGGATTCCCCAGCTTCAGGGAGCCCTGTGGATGTTACTGTATGGAGTATACAAAGTTGCAAAAGTAACAGTATGTCGAAACTTTGGATTTAATTATCTTCCAAGCTTCTTGTCCCTTGTGGCATTATATTCATCTCCTCAAAATTCCATATATGCATAGAAACCTCGATTTTATTTCTATAAACAGAGGAACCAAGTAACTGTTGTCTGTAATTTTGAGTGAACTTTTGCTCATTGAGCCAAAGAGAAAATATGACTTCTTGACATGGGAACACCCAGAAAAACAAAAGTATGCATTTAGTCCCTGTGTGTTCTGCCCATCAAGCTCAGTTGTTTTTGGTTTGTTCTTTTAAATACTGACAATCTATGGATCTAGGCGTTCCTAATAAATGTAGATGTATGTCATCATTACAAAACCTGGACAGGGAATTTATTTGATGTTCTCTCAAGTTTATTTTCAGGTTTGTAAGCTCGTCTTGTCGAATTTAAAACTTCAGTGGCACACTTTAAAGGGGAAAAAAAATGACAGGGGCAGTCAGTATGTTAAATAATAGCCTCAGCCACTTCTCATGCTAGAAAGCTTTTGTATTTAAAAAACTTCTAATAATTTAGATAATATAATAGATATTATAATAAAGGGGTTTAAGGGTGGATTTACTGTAGTTAATATACATTAGTTGAACATTCAGACATCTTAAACTTTAGGAACAAAACTTCAACATTCAAACAACAGTATAGTTTACAGGGAACACCCAGACAGTTAATTTGCCTAATCCAAAATACTGATGAAGATGATGAATAAAATGTTTCACCTGTGTTCTATTCTGGCCAACATCTCAATGACCATGGTTCCACATGTGAGAAGAAATTGCTAAATAAATCTTCTCTTGGGCTAAACAACGGACTTGGCTTATAATTCAGGAGATAAGCAAAGATGTAAGTGAACAAATAAAATTAAACTGTTCTTTAGGGAGGAAGGGAAAAGCTTGTCCACGAGAATAGTCTTAGACTCTGGAAGATGAAAATTCAATTTTTCATGTTTTATCCACTTAAACAAAATCAAAACAAAACCCCACATTAAGTTTTCTTGGGGAGTCTGTGGTATTTGATTCTTGCAAATACAAACCACAAATGCTCTTACATCTTCCACATACAGTGCTGCTAGGAAGAACATCAAAGTCACTGCTTGTCACACTTCATAAAAGGATGGTTTTTAGCTTCAAGATTTTAGATTTACTAGAGATAGCTTGTACTTGAGTATTTGCGAATCATGCTACACAAAAGAGTAAGTCTTTCTAAGGTTCTCTGTTCAGAAACTGTTCACACATGCTTTTCCCTCTGTTCATCAGATGGCTTAACGTACATCTATATAAAAACCTGAAAATTGGCTTATGCAAGCATTTTAGATTAGCCCATCCCCCAGTGGCAGAGTATTCAGAATTATTTTTGTCTTGTGTGTTCTGGAGCTGTGGAAGGGCAAGGGTGGCTCGGAACGCAGGTTAGTGACACACCACTGGTTCACACCTCTCCAGTGGCACACAGTCCAACACTAGACACTGTTTATCCTGCAGAAGTTTTTCTACATCTTTCAGACGTAGATTCTTGGATTAACTTTTTAGATTTGTTCTGTAGGTGAACTGCCAATCCCAGCCTCTTCCACGAGCTTTCACTTTCACTAAATTAACTGTTAAACACATTTGGTCTCTTTCAAAAGTGTCCTGAAGTCAACTTCTGTCTCCAGTATATTCTTCAAACTCGGTTTTTTCCTGTCACTGGAGGAGAACCTAATGCACTGAGGAGCTTCCTTAATTAATGATTTACTTTACTTTCCATGTGGATATTAAGGTAACCACATTAGTTTTGACCAGGAGTTGCCTCTTCTTGGTAGGTGCTTCAGTGCATTTGTTAAACTTCTCTTTCTTCTTTTTCCTACAAAGTTCTAGATTCCCAGTGGTGATCTTTTTGGAAAGTCCTCTTGAGTATCAGATGCAACACATCTGAAGAACATACCTCAACAACCCTGAGGGTTAATGCAGAAGGACTTTCCAAGGAAGCTCCATGGTGTCTCCTGAGGTCAGTACACCTCCAGCCCTATACCTCACACTGTTTTAAAACAGCTTAATTGACTTACACAATATTATATATCAATTATATTTCAAAAAAATTGGGGAAAAATGGCTTTATTCAGATAAAATTCACATACCTGTAAAATGTACAGTTCAGTAGACTTTAGTATATTCAGAGTTGTGCATTCATATAAATAGAATCATACAATACATGATCTTTTGTGACTGGCCACTTAATGTTTTCAAGGTTCATCCAGGTGTAGCATTGTCAAAAGCATCCCTTTTTGTTTGCTAAATAGTATTTTATTGTATGGGTATACCATGTTTTACTTATCCATTAATATGGGCATTTGGATCATCTACTTTTTGGCTATTATGAATAATGCTGTTTAACCTTTTGGGCAACTGACAGTCTTTTTTCCAAAGTGGCTGCACAATTTTATAGTCCCACCAGCAGTGTGACGGGTTCTAGTTTCTCCACATCCTCGCCAACATTTGCAATTATCTCCCTTTTTAATTATAGCCATTCTAGTGGATGTAAATAGTATCTCTTGGTGGTTTTGATTTGCATTTTCCTAATGATTAATTGGTGTTGAACATCTTTTTATGTGCTATCGTACTGGTTTTTGCTTCTTCCAAAAACTGCTGACATATCCAAGAACATTTTCAAAATAAAAGGTATGTTTTCAGTGCTAAGACAGTTGCTCTTATGCCCTTTTCTTGGCTCTCTCTGATATGCCATGCTCCATGTTCTGATATTTTGCTCAAGGGCTCTATGTACAGATAGTTTCACTTGGCTTTGGGCTACCCACTGTTGAGCCTAAGCTCAACTAAACACATGGAGAATTTGAAAACCTTTCAGAATAATGCTGTAGTTATGATCTGGCTAAAGCAAGTGTTTTTTCTAACTCTTTGAGCTGCATATTGCCTTGAGTAATCATCATCCGGATTGTATCCTGTAGAAGAAAGTGAAATCTGGTCACTGTTTTAACTGGTTAAACAAGGTACAGCTCTCCTTATTTGTTAAAATTAGGAACTAATACTGAGAATTGGCACTGATGCCCTTTAGGAAAGCCAAAAGTTAACAATTAGGGGTACACAATGTCTGGCATGCTTTCATATACCCCAAACATACTTCCCAAACCATCATGCTGTAATATTTATTATCTTTTCGTGTGTGTGTGGTTTAACAGACAAGTTGGGTGGTGCTACTGTAGAGTGTAGCTATAGCAAACATTGTTAAATTTAAAATATCAGTTAAGTGAAAAATCAGTAACATCAAGAGCAATGATCAAGATATACCATCTCAGTGACATATCCCAAGATATCTATCAATTTTTTAAAAAAACTCACTAATCAGTACAAAAGGGTCAGGGCCTACCATCACCATGATCTTGGTCTCACCTCTTCGGTGGCACTTTTGTTTCTTTTGAATTCTTCCCTTGCCCAGTCCTTCAGGTATTTGCGATCAGAATCATTTGGAACTTGCCGAATTGCCTGCAAAATCCTTCTGTAGAGGAGGAGAACTTGTTGCCTTCTCACGAACTGTACAGGGGAGGAGAAATGGCAATTACAGCTGCACAGTCGTCAGCCCGGTAGGCTCTTTTCTCTTTGGTTCTCAATTTTGAAAAGGGGAAAGAAAACCACCTTTTTTAAGAAAACGGCAAGAAGTTTGTTTGCGTTCTCGCCTTACTCCCTTGTCAAACTTAAAATCAAGAGTACAAGCAGACCAGTCTTTTCCGCGGTCACTAGGCAGTGGAGATCCGGACTCAAGATCAAGAGCCCGGCCTGCTTCTTGCACCAGGACTGGAGAGTAGCCCCACCCGGCTTGCGCTTCCCGTCGGCCCCCCGCGGCGCGAAGCCCCGCCCCCCCCCAGCCCGAGCCAATCAGAGTGGGGCGCGCGCAGGGTCGTCCGCCCCAGTAGTCCCCGAGACCCCTCTATAGAATTGGTGCAGGGGGCGGTAGAGAATCGAGCTCAGACCCAGTAAAGCTGCCCTAAGAGGCCGGCGAGGATAGTTGGTACCTGCTTTAGCGTTAGCGTCGCTGGGGGTAAGCGGGAAGCTGCCATCACGTCCAGACAGCGCGGTCCGCCAGAGGCCCAGCGCGCAGGGGCGGAAGTGGGGCGGTGACGGACGGGGCGGGGCGAGCTCGGTTTCCCGGGAGGCGGCCGGCGGCGGCAGTTGCGCTGATTGCAGGAGCCCGGCAGGGCAGTCGGAACTGAAGCTCAAGGCAGTTTCGCTTTGTCTTAGCCTGTTTGCTCATCCGTGAAACAGGATAACAGTTCCTGCTTCACAGGTTGTTGTAAGAATGAGATAGTGGTGAGGCATTTAGCCCAGTTCCTGACACGTGGTTAAGTTTCATTAAATGAAAGGATTTGGGGGGTGAGGGAAGAAAACTATTTTAGTATATTCGTTTTGAGATTTAGTGCGTATAGTGAAAAATTCTAAAAATTTAAATGTTAATGTCTCTTAGTTTGTGTTGTGCTCGTCTGCTTTTCTCATTCTTGTCCCTGTTCGTTTCTACTGCATTTTTCCTGGCATTGTAGTCTTCGTGATCGTCCTTAGTTACAAAATGGTTGTCCCATTGCAGTTTTGAGAATTTTGTGTCACTAGTAACGAGGAACCAAACATCCCTATGCCTTGCTTTTTCCCCCCATAATCGTTTTGTCCTCCCCTCAACACATTCCTCACGCTCTTAGGTTATATTAACTATAAGGGGTTAGTGAATCCCTTCTTTTAAAAAACAGGATTGTTCTGAATTAAAATACAGCCCAAAGTGTTCAATTAGCCGTTCGTTCACTGAGCATTTACTAGATTGCCTTGCTTGGAATCCTTGGAGCTCCCTTTTCCCAGTTGTGTACTTCTGGCTACTTTTGTGTGTGTGTTTCCTCGTCTGTAAAGTGAAATAACAGCATCTACCCCAGAGCTGCTGTTGTACTGTATTGTATGTAGTGCACTGAACAGAACCTGGCGCATATAAGCACTCTAAAGATTTTGAACATTACCAGGCATTGTGTGAATGTTGCTAACTAATACCATAACCACAAATTTCAAAATCTGTCTACTAATTAGCAATTCATTGATTTTTTCTCTTTTAAATAGTAGTGAAGTTAACTATCCCTTGCCACTTTTAGTTACTTATTTTGTGAATTGTCATGACTTTGGTCCCTTTATGATGATGCATACATTTATCCTAATTTTATATGGGCTGTTTGCCATATTTTTTAAAATTTTGATCCTTTTCCTTTTATAGCTTCGTCTCTATATCGTCACGTGTATTTTCCGTTCTTTTGAGCCTTTTCAATTTCATCTTCTCCCCTTCAGAACTTTAAAAAATTTTCATTGTTAATGTTTAAAATGTTCATCTAGGATTTTGGTTTATAGCATAATGGGGATATAAGTTCGTTTCCAGTTGTAAACTATAATTTCAGCACCCTTTATTAACTAATTCATCCATATTCCTGGGATTTGTGATACTCCTGGTAAATTCTTTTAGGTTCTGAATAACCCTCAGGATAATTTCATCCAGGTCGTTTTTACTTTTTTGTTGTATTATTATTAGGCAGGAATACTCCCCTGTAGTATCTTGTAGGAGTCTTCTATTGATGGTCTGTATGACCTTTAGACATGTTTTGTATTATTTTCCTCTATATCATCTTAGAATCGTTACTGAAATTTTGATTGTGTTGAATCTATAAAGTGAGAACTGACATTTTTATACTATTTCTTCTTCCCATCCAGTAAGATTCACTCATGCTAGACATTGGTAATGCTGTCACGAGTCATATATGCCTCCTGTCCTTAGAATCACTCTTTGGGTAGGAAGACATAAGTCCAATGTAGTATTTATAGATGTTGTCAAGGCTCATACTGTGGGAGCTCATTCTTCTTGGAGGGCTTATCTGAGCTAGGCAAAGTCAGAAAGGCAAAGTGGGTAAGAGAATCCTAGACAAAGAATGCATGGAACACTGGCAGATTCCAAGGCCTGTGTGGTTTGCTGTGATCAGATCAAATAGTGTGGTGGGGATGCTGGGAGAGAAGGGACAGGGGAGGCAGGTAGTGCTAAGAAGCAACAAATGGTACCTTCTTCACAGGAAGTCAGAAGGATCTCCTTGGATGTTGTGAGTATGACGAAGTGAAGCTAGCAAAGTGATTAGTAGTTCAAGCTACATTTTATTTACTTTAATAGTTATTTAAAAAAATTTTTTGGCTGCGTCGGGTCTTAGTTGCGGCCCGCAGGATCTTTTGCTGCGGTGCGCGAGCTTCTCTCTACTTGTGGTGCGTGGGCTCGTAGTTTGTGGCAGGCACACAGGCTCTCTAGTTGAGGTGTGCAGGCTTCGCTACCCCGTGGCGTGTGGGATCTTAGTTCCCTGACCAGGGATCGAACCTGTGTCCCCTGCATTGGAAGGTGGATTCTTTACCCCCAGGGAAGTCCCCCTCAAGCTACATTTTTAAGAGAGCTCCAGCTGCACTGCAGTCAGAGGAAAGCAAAAGGGAAGACAGGATAAGGTAAATATCCAGAAGTTAGACCGGACATGATTGGGGTTTGGATGGAGGTGGAGAGGAAGGTAAGGCAAATGTAAAGGTTGAGCTCCAAGTGAGTGTGTGTGTGAGAGAGCAAGCCTATCCGCAGTTAGCTTCTTCCGAGTGACTCAGGTGTGTCACTCTTCCTAACCAACGCCCTCAGTTCCTGATGGGGCTCCTGTGTCTGCTCCTGTGCTTCCCAACCCTTTTCCTGTCACAGCACAAACTGAAGATAGCACTCTTGGGTAACTTGCTTACTGAAATTCTTCTGTTCCAGACCCTATTAGCTATCCCAGGGCCAAGGGAATCACTTATGCTGGTACATCAGTTGGGATGCTTCAGCTTAGCTTGTCCTGTCAATTCAAGGTAGATATGACGGACCGCATCACAGTCATAGTGTTGGTGTCTTCCCTCCCTGCTGGAAGATTAAACTTCCTGCCCCACAGCGGCCTTTGGCCAGTGATACATCTCTTACACTCAGATTTCATCTTGGAGCAGCACAAGTTACATCAACAGTGGTATGTTTTTTAATAGTTTTCAGAATATAAGTTGCATAGCTTTTTAGAATAAAAAATGATACAACCTCAGGTACATGCTTTAGGATACCTGGTTTAAACAACAAGCAAACTGTCTTTGAGGACCACCTCAAAAGGGTGGCACACTTCACAGTGTAACTTGATAACAGACACGGAGATAGATGATTACGTCATGGCATGTTGTCTACGAAAGAACATCTTGACAGAGCTTAAAGAGAACACAGCACACAGTTAAGTATTCAAGCACTGCTTTTTGGCCAAGTAAAAACTGCCTAAAAACTGTTGATGGATTTTTGACTGGAAAAAAAGACGTGGCTGCTTAGTTCTTCTGATACAGCACTTCTTTTCCAGCATAAGACAGGCTCAGTTCAACTTGAAATCAGTGTGAGGAATGATTCTTCCTCTTAACTGTTAAGAAAAAATGAACTAAAGAAATAAATTACTACAACAGCAGGAACTATGGCACAGAGAGAATGAAATAAAGGAAAAATCATCTTCCCATCATTGCATAGTCTCCCGAAGCAGCAAAGGTGAAGGGGAGGACACTGAAAAGCCATTTCATTCATACAAGGCCCAAGGGTCATTTTCTGATGATTTGGGCTCCCATGATGTCTGGTTGTTTTATAAAAAAACACACATACCACAAGCCTCCTACCCTCATAGAGAAGTTAGTTCCTTTCATAAGAAGCACAGTAAAAAAAAAAAAAAAAACAGACTCTCTAAAAAGAACCGCAGCTGCCTTAGCCACTTGACAGCTTTCAGGTACCCACTGTGGGCTTCGCAAGGCCAAGCCTCATTAGCGCAGGGTCAAAAAGGAAGTTCCCTTTAGTCCTTTGCCCAGAGGCCTGGCACAGTCCCATGCTTCCAGCAGCATCTCCTCATGGAGGTGTCCAGGATCCCTGGGAGGGAAGGCAGGCAGCTGAGCCCCAAGGGTGGGGTGCAGCCTCCTCTTGGGCCAGGACTTCTGAGACAAGCCCAAAGGGCAGCGCCACCCCCAAGGTATGAGACCAGACCCCTGCTGCTGCTGTTCCTTCACCCCAAGTTTATTGCAAGCACTGGAGCCCAGGCACAGCAGGGAGCATGAGTTTTCTCTAGGCTCTGAAATCGTGTTGTAAAATAAAATGTTGCAGTAAAATTTTTTGTAGCTGTTGGGTGAATGTTTATAAATCAAGTCTAAGATTAAATACCATTTTCGAGCTGGGAATTCAGAAACAGGTGTCCAAAAGGGAGCACCCGGCAAGCAGTGTGACATTCTGACCGCAAAGTCTCACTTAGGACTGTGTTCCTTTTGTTCTATGGGTGGTCAGAGGCTGTCACCAGCTCAAACCACTGCCTGAGGGCATCGCTGAGCGTCTCGGGAAGTGCGTTCACATCGCGTAGGATTATATAGAACGGGAATGGGAACTCTTCCATGTAGGATCGGATTTCAGGCATCTCTCCAGGCCCTTTAAATATTGGTACCTTGATGTCCAAGATAGAATCCTGGCAAGAAAAAACATTTAGAAATAAAACTACATCAGTGTCCTTGGCTAGCTCCTTTATGATCTCCTTTGCAGACAATTTTTAGGTCTCACATGTCTAATTCCTGCTTATAAAAATAGCTCTTATTACTAAGTAAAACAGAACTCTCAATAAGGAGGTGGCAGATCTCTTTCTGAGCACCCCTTCCAGGAGAATGGCCATTAAAAGGGAAGGAAAGGGGTAGCTAAGCAAACCTGATTTCCCTCTTCCCAACCCTTTTCCTGTCACAGCACAAACTGAAGATAGCACTCTTGGGTAACTTGCTTACTGAAATTCTTCTGTTCCAGACCCTATTAGCTATCCCAGGGCCAAGGGAATCACTTATGCTGGTACATCAGTTGGGATGCTTCAGCTTAGCTTGTCCTGTCAATTCAAGGTAGATATGACGGACCGCATCACAGTCATAGTGTTGGTGTCTTCCCTCCCTGCTGGAAGATTAAACTTCCTGCCCCACAGCGGCCTTTGGCCAGTGATACATCTCTTACACTCAGATTTCATCTTGGAGCAGCACAAGTTACATCAACAGTGGTATGTTTTTTAATAGTTTTCAGAATATAAGTTGCATAGCTTTTTAGAATAAAAAATGATACAACCTCAGGTACATGCTTTAGGATACCTGGTTTAAACAACAAGCAAACTGTCTTTGAGGACCACCTCAAAAGGGTGGCACACTTCACAGTGTAACTTGATAACAGACACGGAGATAGATGATTACGTCATGGCATGTTGTCTACGAAAGAACATCTTGACAGAGCTTAAAGAGAACACAGCACACAGTTAAGTATTCAAGCACTGCTTTTTGGCCAAGTAAAAACTGCCTAAAAACTGTTGATGGATTTTTGACTGGAAAAAAAGACGTGGCTGCTTAGTTCTTCTGATACAGCACTTCTTTTCCAGCATAAGACAGGCTCAGTTCAACTTGAAATCAGTGTGAGGAATGATTCTTCCTCTTAACTGTTAAGAAAAAATGAACTAAAGAAATAAATTACTACAACAGCAGGAACTATGGCACAGAGAGAATGAAATAAAGGAAAAATCATCTTCCCATCATTGCATAGTCTCCCGAAGCAGCAAAGGTGAAGGGGAGGACACTGAAAAGCCATTTCATTCATACAAGGCCCAAGGGTCATTTTCTGATGATTTGGGCTCCCATGATGTCTGGTTGTTTTATAAAAAAACACACATACCACAAGCCTCCTACCCTCATAGAGAAGTTAGTTCCTTTCATAAGAAGCACAGTAAAAAAAAAAAAAAAAACAGACTCTCTAAAAAGAACCGCAGCTGCCTTAGCCACTTGACAGCTTTCAGGTACCCACTGTGGGCTTCGCAAGGCCAAGCCTCATTAGCGCAGGGTCAAAAAGGAAGTTCCCTTTAGTCCTTTGCCCAGAGGCCTGGCACAGTCCCATGCTTCCAGCAGCATCTCCTCATGGAGGTGTCCAGGATCCCTGGGAGGGAAGGCAGGCAGCTGAGCCCCAAGGGTGGGGTGCAGCCTCCTCTTGGGCCAGGACTTCTGAGACAAGCCCAAAGGGCAGCGCCACCCCCAAGGTATGAGACCAGACCCCTGCTGCTGCTGTTCCTTCACCCCAAGTTTATTGCAAGCACTGGAGCCCAGGCACAGCAGGGAGCATGAGTTTTCTCTAGGCTCTGAAATCGTGTTGTAAAATAAAATGTTGCAGTAAAATTTTTTGTAGCTGTTGGGTGAATGTTTATAAATCAAGTCTAAGATTAAATACCATTTTCGAGCTGGGAATTCAGAAACAGGTGTCCAAAAGGGAGCACCCGGCAAGCAGTGTGACATTCTGACCGCAAAGTCTCACTTAGGACTGTGTTCCTTTTGTTCTATGGGTGGTCAGAGGCTGTCACCAGCTCAAACCACTGCCTGAGGGCATCGCTGAGCGTCTCGGGAAGTGCGTTCACATCGCGTAGGATTATATAGAACGGGAATGGGAACTCTTCCATGTAGGATCGGATTTCAGGCATCTCTCCAGGCCCTTTAAATATTGGTACCTTGATGTCCAAGATAGAATCCTGGCAAGAAAAAACATTTAGAAATAAAACTACATCAGTGTCCTTGGCTAGCTCCTTTATGATCTCCTTTGCAGACAATTTTTAGGTCTCACATGTCTAATTCCTGCTTATAAAAATAGCTCTTATTACTAAGTAAAACAGAACTCTCAATAAGGAGGTGGCAGATCTCTTTCTGAGCACCCCTTCCAGGAGAATGGCCATTAAAAGGGAAGGAAAGGGGTAGCTAAGCAAACCTGATTTCCCTACAATGGTATTTCCTATTCTCTACTTGGAATAATTCACATTAAATCTTCAGCTTGCTATCCAGGCCTTAATGTGACCTGCAGAGACAGTACTTCCCCGGGAACAGACCACCCCGTGGACATCTTTCATGTAGCGACTGATGCTTCCTCCTCTGAGGAGGGCACTGCTGAGATCCAAGTACTTGGAAAGGCTGGTCTATGTTTCCAACGGACAGGGCCCCCAGGCCTTAATGTGACCTGCAGAGACAGTACTTCCCCGGGAACAGACCACCCCGTGGACATCTTTCATGTAGCGACTGATGCTTCCTCCTCTGAGGAGGGCACTGCTGAGATCCAAGTACTTGGAAAGGCTGGTCTATGTTTCCAACGGACAGGGCCCATCATCAAGGCTATGATACCTGCAGCGACGCTGTGCAGAGAGAGATGACCCACCAGAGTACTAGTCAGCACAGCAAGTGGTTAAGAGGATAGACGGAGTCAGTCTGAATACTGACTTCCTTACCTGTTGTCATTACCTACAACCTCTGTGCTTCTGTCCTTCCCTGTAGAGTGGGAATAACCATCCCTACATCACTGAGTTACTGCTTGGTTACGTGAGAAAGGTGCCATGAATGTTATAGGGGTTCTCGGTATGACTGTGAGACCCAGGCCATTTTTCAGCTTGAAAACAGCTTGAAGGGAATCCCCAGAAAAGTGGCTTTTAGTAATCACTCACCCGTGAACTTGGATTGTCCAACACAACAAAAATGACAAAGATGTTAGCATTCCGGGCCGCCTGAACTGCTGCTAGGACTCTGTCTTTGCCCTCAAAGAAAAGGCCACGTCCGTCAGAGACCACCAGGAGGAGCTGTGCAGTTTCTGTAGTAGAACATAACAGCAGGAGAGGAACAACTCAACTCAAACGACAACTCAAACTACTACGGGGACTTCCCTGGTGGTGCAGTGGTTAAGAATCCGCCTGCCAATGCAGGGGACACAGGTTCGAGCTCTGGTCCGGGAAGATCCCACATGCCGTGGAGCTACTAAGCCTGTGTGCCACAACTAAGCCTGCGCTCTAGAGCCTGCACGCCTAGAGCCCATGCTCTGCAACAAGAGAAGCCATTGCAATGAGAAGCCCGCGCACCACAAGGAAGAGTAGCCCCTGCTCGCTGCAACTAGAGAAAGCCTGTGCGCAGCAACGAAGACCAACGCAGCCAAAAATAAGTAAACTACGGACAGTAAGACAAATTAGTGCAGGCTTTCTCTGTGCTATCAAAACCAAGCAGTTCTCTGAAACTGGTGAATTCTGGGCACAAATAAAGGGGGCCTCCAGTTAGATCTATTACTTTGAACGTGTGAGTCACAGACAAGGCTGCACAAAGACATACAAAACTTCTGTCAATAAAACAATTTCCCAGTAGTGCTTTGGGGAATGTCACATTTAGATCAACTTTGTTGTACAGCAACATGTGAGAATTAAAACATGTTTATGGATATAAAGTATAAAAAGAGCGGTCCTGAGTAGACCATTAGAAGAAAGTGCCCAAATCAGAAACCTAGAACTGTATCTTTCAAATTTCAGTCATTGTCTATTAGCTTCAGATTTCTGTCAATTTCTTGTACCTAAATACTGTTTTTTTTCTTGAAAGAAAAATTTAAATAGAAATTTAAAAACTTAAATAGAAGGGACCACTAAAATGAATAGTGGATAAAAATGTATTAAAATTTTTAGCATATTATGTTTCCAGTGAAAGACTTGTGCTTAAAGGCAGGCTGTCTTCTGTCAAGGAAGGTTAGCAAGTGTTGAGAGGCATGAATGACCTGCTTCAAAGGGAAGTCAAAGGGAATCAATTGAGGATTTAGGGAAAGGCTAAAGAACTGGTGTGCTGCAAAAGCCCCAAATCAATCATGGATGGATTAGCTGGTTTCTGAATTATGTCCTTCTCCACTTTCCTTTGTTATTAAAATACTGAAGAATATACTCTTTACATTTAATTCCACACACCCTTATTCCTTTCACAATTGAACTCAAATCTATCAAATGTGTATACACTAGTTAATTACAAACTAGTTGGTGTCTACCTTCTCCTTTGATTATAAGCCTCTTGAGTATGGGTTCAATAAAAATTTTTGAATGAATGAACGGGTGAGTAAAAAATTCCATGAATGTTTATTACCTCTGCATCATCCCGTTCATGTGTTTTCCTATAGAGCATACACTTTAAAAGATGGTGATGGGTACACTGAGATGAAAACAAACAACTTGCAAATAGTACGAGAACAGAAAAGCATTTTATTAGCAAAGACCAAAGAACACAGCTCACCTGGACTGATGTTTTGTGAGAGCTGCTGAGCGGCTGCAAACATGTTGGCTACAGACTCTAGAAACTAAACCAGAAATAGACAATTAGAAAACTATTTAAGCTCTCTTCCCACTATCACAGAGACTTCTGGCACTTAAGTGATTATCAGATAACCATCTCAAATCTATAGCAACCAAACTGTCCCTTCCATCCATCCATAAAGGACTGACAATCCTTGCACTTGGCGTTTACGTTGGGTGCTGGCATTCTCAAGCACAGACAAGACCTGTGTCCCTGGCATATACCCCACTAGTGTTCTACAAGACACCCCAAAGGAAAAGAAACACTTCCTCTGGGGGACAAGAAGTCAGTAATCCCCCAAATGAACCACAGAGCTGTCTTCTTTCAAGAAAGGAAAATAGCTGAGCAAAAAAAAGAAGGCAAGAAAACATAAAATATCCAGTGTAACGTGAAGGAGGCTAAATTACGGCAGGAACCAGGAGGACAGAATTGTTATCCCATGCTGTGTTTAGAACGTATGCCATCCCGAGCAAGCACTGGCTTTATTTCACGTCATCTTCTCTAGGCTAAATGGTAGAGAGAAATTGGCCTTGACCCACTTGATAAGGGTACTGGGAGGTGGTTCATTTTTCCAAAATGTTCCAAACCTCTCAAAATAGGGAGCCAGAAAATCAATGATGCAAAGTCAAATGATCTTTGAAAAACTGAGAAAAAGAGATCACATCCTATTTAATAATGGATGCCAAGGGAGATTCTATTCCAATGGTACACCGGCTGAGGCTTAGGACTATTCTCTATTGTAAATTTTACCATACTGGGGAGGAGGGAGTTCTAAAAATTATGTCTCTCCAATACCATAAAATAACTGCAGAAGACATCTGAAGTCATCAGCATACCTGAGCAATCTTGGTTTTCTTTTGTTGGAATCTGCAGAGCCGCAGAATCTGGGACCCTGAGTAATCACTGAACTGTTCATGGAATGGGTGTAACAGCTTTACGGACTCTCCAAAACTTGGGGGAGAAAACCCAAATACAATGGGAGTTATTTTTTGTCATGCAAAAAAAGGCTGGTTTTCCCAATGGGATTAAAAGGCACTCTTACCTGCACACCGCAATCTGACCCACTTCCAGAAAGGTTAGAGCATTTCCAATCACAGCCAGAGACTCAAAGGCAAGCTGTGAAACAGAAAGTGAAGGGTTGAAGAAATCAGAATATGCTCTACACTAACGCCTTTCAACCTTTTTTATACCAAGATTCCCACAGAAAACACTACTTTTTTGTTATGGCACACAGGGGAACAACATCAATATGGCTATTCACAACCAACTCAGAGGCTTTGGTGGCTTTGGTAGCCTCAGGCCCTGGCTAATAGCACAAGCGCCGAAACCCAATATCCTTTATACTAGTAGGAAAGGTCTGCTCTAGACATCATCCAATAAAAGCGATCTTGAGAAATTTGGTCCATCAATTTTTAAGGTTTCTTCCCCCTTTTTTTGACTATATAAAGTAATCTCTCACGGGTAAAAGATTTTAAAAACCAATTTAATCTATGCATAAATGACAGTATAGTTTTAGGATTTAAATTCAGTTAAAAAGATGATGATACTTGTAGCAACTAACATCTACTGAACATGTATCAAGTGCCAGGCACTAAACTGAGTGCTCTGCATACATGATTTCACTTAGTCTTCATAACAACTCTGAGCTTTAGGTAAGTATTGTTATAATCATTTTTTCAGAAGGTAAAGCTGACAGACAAAATGAACTGCCCAAAGTCATGCGGTACTAAGTGGGGAGTTGAGACCTTAACACAGGTGCAGAGGTTACACTTTTTCCAGCAGAGCCTGTGCACAGACCTCAGGCTGCTCGCTGACTTGTGCTGGGCAACAGCATCACTGCGAAGAGGCCCTCCACTCTCCACGTCCCTGATGGCGGGGAGGAGTGGGGGGTCATAACTCCACCCAGGCTCCTAAGCTTTGTTACTACTGATAGAGCACTAACTCTACACAGACGTAAAGAAACGTGTACTGAAGACATCTTCTTAAAAAATCAGGAATATTCAGGGCTCCCCTGGTGGCTCAGTGGTTGTGAGTCTGCCTGCCGACGCAGGGGACATGGGTTCCTGCCCCGGTCCGGGAAGATCCCACATGCCGCGGAGCGGCTGGGCCCGTGAGCCATGGCCGCTGAGCCTGCGCGTCCGGAGCCTGTGCTCCGCAGCGGGAGAGGCCACAACAGTGAGAGGCCCGCGTACCGCAAAACAAAACAAAACAAAACAAAACTCAGGGATATTCAGATATTATGTTGTGCATGGTCTTAAAGAATATAGTACATTCATTCAGTGGAAAGTAAACACTGACAAATTTACTCTGCAACTAAACAATAGCATGGCCATGCTAAGAAACACAACAATCTAAACGACCTACAGCAGTAAGACACCAAAATTTTTTGAGACATCCTGAAATTGCCCATTTGAACTCTTTTTAAATCTTATATCTTCTCAAATATGGTCTCATATTCTCAGAACAAACTAACTGGTGTTTCAAAGTGTTTTTTAGCCAGAACATATTTAAAACATTCAGGTGGCCCATCAAACCGCCACTACACTTCTCCTTACCTGTTTGGTATGGTTGTCTACCATGCTAGAAGAGTCATCGACAGCCAAACAAATCTGATACTGGCGTTTACTGGGCTTGGTCCTTCGAAGCCAAATCTTGTCTTTCCGAAACTGACTGGCAATGTATGGAATGACCTTCCGCATGTTCAGTCGCTTCCCAGTTCGATAGTCTCCTCTGTTAAATTGAACCGAACAGGAGCAAGATTAAGGATAAAATCACAGTAATAATAACATAACCAGTTATACCAAATAACCAGTAACATGGCACAATGAAGTGTTACTGTCAATTGAGATTATTAAGGGCTGGGATCTTCTTGATCAGCAGCCAGAAACACTGGATATGTATGTGGCAAGAATAATTAGGTCCTTTTAGAAAATTTAAAACACTTTCTAAAAAGAAAAAAAATGTTTGCATTGAATATTAAGTTTTGGATTCTCTTCTGTGTTCTGAAACTATGCTTCTGGACACATCTTTTGAAAGATCTAGGTGAGTGATGCATGCAGCAAGTGAGTGATCCAACATGTCAAAGGAGAGCAGCACACACACCCAAAGGCTCAGCCAATTCTCCCATCAAGTATTAATTAACTAGTCACAGAAAGTGCATTCATACTGAACTTCACAGAAACTTCTGTGACAGAAGAAAATGGCAACAAGGTAAGGAACGCCATAGTAGAGCCTGTGCAGCACAAGTGGCAACCTAGATGCCAGCACCATAGCTGTTACGTGCTAATAAGCTCAGCAGGAAAGCTGACACTGCCATCTTTCCAGGGCACCATGAGTGCATCCAGTGGAGAAGACTTACTTCAGCTTGGCAGCCTGGCTAGGCTCTAATATGAGACGAAGCTGTTCACACAGCTGTTGTGAAAGAGGTGCAGTTAAGACCAGGTAACTCTGCCACATCTCCACTGCTGCCTTCTCCTGTGACAACAGCAACAACATGTAAGTTACCCTTAGAAGGCTGGAGCCAACCAAAGTCATTACAGCAAGATGAAGGCCTGAAGCAAAGCAGTGGAAAACAATCTGCTTCTCTTGTCAAGCTGCTATCTGATTCACCTGGTTTAAAATGTCTCCTCCTGGGCTTCCCTGGTGGCACAGTGGTTAAGAGTCCGCCTGCCAGTGCTGCGGACATGGGTTCGAGCCCTGGTCCGCAAAGATCCCACATGCCACGGAGCAACTAAGCCCGTGTGCCACAGCTACTGAGCCTGCGCTCTAGAGCCCGCGAGCCACAACTTCGGAAGCCCGCATGCCTACAGCCCGTGCTCCGCAACAAGAGAAGCCACCACAATGAGAAGCCCGTGCACTGCAACAAAGAGTAGCCCCTGCTCGCTGCAACTAGAGAAAGCCCATACCCAGCAATGAAGACCCAATGCAGCCATAAATAAATAAATAAAATTTAAAAATAATAAAGTAATTAAAAATAATAAATAAATTAAAAAAAATAAAATGTCTCCTCTTCCACCAAAGCCACAACTCGCAGTTCCAATGAGAAAGTAAGGTAATAAAATACTGGAAATTCATGACCAAATCAATGCCTTATTCACATCACCTATGAGGAGTATATAATGTGTACCCTTCACGTGGAGAGGGAGCTGTGATGGGTAATTTTGGTGCCAGGAGATCCAGCCACTTAATCATGGTCTCTCAGGCTCATGTTTCAAAAACAAAAGTGATGAGTGCAAACCTCTCAAGTAACACTCAGCAGTGTGCTTATTTCCTGAATATAAAGCTCCATGGTTAGTTTTTTTTTTTTTTTTTTTTTCCATTCTTATTCACATCACCTATGAGGAGTATATAATGTGTACCCTTCACGTGGAGAGGGAGCTGTGATGGGTAATTTTGGTGCCAGGAGATCCAGCCACTTAATCATGGTCTCTCAGGCTCATGTTTCAAAAACAAAAGTGATGAGTGCAAACCTCTCAAGTAACACTCAGCAGTGTGCTTATTTCCTGAATATAAAGCTCCATGGTTAGTTTTTTTTTTTTTTTTTGCCAATTATGGCAGAGCAGTCAATACATACATGTGGTGAGAATAATAAGAGATACAAAATTAAAATGTGTATTTAGTAAATGTTAGTAAATTTAGGATGCAAGGTCATTGAAAAGGAAACATCTGGTTTATCTACACTGCCATATTATATCAGCTGGCAATGTTCCAGGTGGCCTATTCAGAGAGTGACACAGTATAGACTTTTGCCCCATGTTTCAACTACTGTCACATCTATTACATCCATTACAGATTGAGCAATGGAAGTTAAAGAATTAAACACACCAGTTTCTCTCTGTTTTAATTAAGCTACAGATCTAGTGGCAAAGCAGGCAGAAAACAATGGATAGATGTAGGCTTCAGAATTATAATTATATTCTCCATATACTCGGTCGCTTTGACCAAGGTAATTGGAGTTAAGAATCTATTAAGTTTCCTGTACCTTAAAAAACAAAAGTCAAGATAATTTATAAAAAGACCAGTGACTTACTTCTTCTGGGTTTCCAGATTCGTGTGGCTGCCATATTTCCAGCTGTCTCTCCAGCTCCTGTCTTAGTTCATTAACATCTTTTAAGAAGGGCTAAGAGGGAAAAGCCGCGGATAGAGGAGACCCAGGTTGGAATCACCAACTCACTATACCTGGTTGCCTTATTCCCTGCAGTACGAACTCTCCCTGAGATGCAAAACTTGAGCAAATTTAATGGCACAATTAAGACACCAGACAACGATTCTTCTCCTTCTCATTATGTAGAGGCAAAATGGATAAAGGAAATATTAACATTTAATAAATCCATCCCAGTAAAACAAAATACCCAGGAAGATATCAATAATGGAAATATTCTTTAATTAATCTAGACTATAATTAAGTCAAAGAATTAGGGACAACAACTCAGTTAACTGGCTCGTCCTAAATGCAGGCATTAAGTCAACGGTTCTTACGATTCTTACTACTTAACCAACATAAACTTAACTGTCCTGCAGGCTCCTCACACAAGGCTGGTGGATGAGAGGAGTAGATGTGAGAGCCAGAGGTCCGAGGACAAGACCCACCATCGTGGCCAGGTCAGGACACCGACCATCCACGGTGACCCTGGGATTAACTGTTAGAAGTGTGTTATCTGCTCAGAGAACACGTCGTACCAACAGTACTCCTTAAAAGACTGATAAGGATATACCCCAAAACAACCAGATGCGACATAAAGTTCCTAAGACAAACATGTCTTAAGTTGTTTAAAAGCAACTTATAATTATGTTTTGTCAACTTATTGAAGTAGTAATTTGTGAAAGTTTTAGTACCTGTAAAATTGTGTCCACAAGGAACTGATGGGCTGTATGAATGGTCGAATCTCGGCTTCTCTCTGGTTTCTCATTCTCTGTCTCCCTGTGGGATGTGTCTGTCCTGCGGTCTTGGTCTTCCTCTGTGTTAATAGTTTGGGTCTCCATCTCCATCTCTTCAAAGCCTGTTCTCACACCATAATGTCAACATGAAGACTCAGCCTTCACAGTCACGTGTCAATCCTAACAATTACTCAGACTTCACTCATTCACTCCCCGGCACATTAACACCTCGGCTCCACGTGTCCTTTCTCTCTGACACAGTCTGCCAATTCTCACTCCCTTAACTTCCCCCTCTTCCCACCCTGATATGGAAGGCAGCTGTTCTGGGAGGCGGAAGTGGGGGGAGACTGTTTTACCCTGACAAGCCTCATAGAACCGTGTGATCCATTAAACTATGTTCATGGAAATAAATAAATAAACTATGTGCATGCAGAACTTTGACAGAACCAAAAACTAAAATAACATCATAGCTCCATTTTATAGATGAGGAAGCTGAGACAAAGAAGACAAATAATTTGCCTCAACCTATAAAGTCAGTCAGTAAGAGAAAGTCTGGATTTGAATCTAGGAAGGTCTAATCACAGAGCTATGCCTTTCCCACTGTCCTGTAACAGCCAGGTAGTCAGCAGGTCTAACGCCCCTGAGAAGACGGAAGCAGAAGGAAAAGTTTTTGAATTTAGCAAGTTCTTTTGAATTTGCACTTATACCACTGCTGATAAAGCTATTTTTTCATGTGTTGAATGAATTTAAAAAACATAACAGCCTTGTAATAGCACTTGGTCAGCTATGAAATGGAACTGTATGTAAGAAGTTTTGTTACCTTCTCACATGCATTTCCCCTATTCTATTTCTTTAAACATTTCTTTAAATAGAATGTTTAAATATAGTATCTTCTCATATAATTAAAAATATTGTTTCTCTAATAATCAAGAATATATCTTCTGGGGGACTTCCTTGGTGGCACAGTGGATAAGACTCTGTGTTCCCAATGCAGGGGGCCCGGGTTCGATCCCTGGTCAAGGAACTCGATCCCAGATGTGTGCCACAATTAAGGAGCCAGTGAGCCGCAACTAAGGAGCCCATCTGCCACAACTAAGACCCGGTGCAACCAAATAAATAAATAAATAGAAAAAAAAAGAATATATCTTCTGGTCATACTGGAGTATGTGTACTATTCTGTTTTCTTCTACATATTTAAAAAAGACTGCTGGGTTGGGCTTTGCTGGTCGTGCAGTGGTTAAGAATCGGCCTGCCAATGCAGGGGACACGGGTTCAAGCCCTGGTCTGGGAAGACCCCACATGCTGCGGAGCAACTAAGCCCGTGCGCCACAACTACTGAGCCTGAGCTCTAGAGCCCGTGCTCCGCAACAAGAGAAGCCACCGCAGTGAGAAGCCTGCACACCACAACGAAAGAGTAGCCCCTGCTCGCTGCAACTAGAGGAAGCCCGCGCACAGCAATGAAGACCCAACACAGCCAAAAATAAATAAATAAATGGATTTTAAAAATAAATAAAATAATAATAAAGACTGCTGGGATTTTGTCTGAAACTCAAGTTTCAAGGGTGTCCATGAAGGACAGCGTCCTGTAACACCTTCCACCTTCCTACTCCCAAATGAAACATGTACAGGGAAATTATTATGGGCAAATGAATCTCTAAGCCATGGGTTAGGATGGGGAAAGAAGTGACCAAGCGCGACTGCAGAACCAGAGAAATGGCTTCTGTGGGCCGGAGAGCTTAGGCAGGAGGGTGTGCTCACTGCAGGACTCACCCGGCCCGGCTGTGCGCCCCGACCTGGCTTCCTGGGACTCCAGCTGCTCCGTGTCTACTGCGCAGAGCTCCTCCTGCTCCCCCGTGCCTGCGGAGGCATCCTCTGTCTCCTCCTCTTCCCAAGCCTTGCTGGGGTCCTTTGCAGACTGCTGCTGCTCCGTGCTAGCCACATCTGCCAACAAAGTGCACACACATGAAAAGGTCAGCTCTCTGCAGACAAACCCATCATGAGTGGGTGTGCTTTTTGGTCATTCGTAGTTCCCAAGATTCTGCCACTGACACAGTACTTGGCTTGTCTGTGACCTACTGATGTAAGTGCTTAACACTCCCTGCCTCACCCCCCCGGCCAGAAGCTTCAAGGATACAGTGTAACTATACATGTGACCATAGATTGGATGTTTAGCTGGGTTTTTATTGCTATGACCAGAGACTGAACCAGAATAAATATGCCAGGCACGTGACTCAGAGCAGCTAATGGAATCATCCTCATTGCCAAGTTATGGGTGGAAAAACTGTAGTGATAAAGTATAACAACACGGGGCACAGAAAGATCAGCATGGGAATCCCAGCGTCGTGATCTTGGACAAGTTCTTAAACATCTTTGGCCTCAGTGTGCGGATCTATAAAATGGAGAAATCCTAGCTGGTAAAGGCTGCCAGAGGAACTCCACGATCATGCCGCAAAGGCTCAGAACGGTGCTGGGCACAAGGTAAAAGCTCCATGCATGGCAGCCATCACTGGTATTGCTTAATTTTTCTTAAAAGTGGGGAGAGAAAAGAGTAATCCACAGCAGAGCAGTCTTTTTGTACCATCCTCACAGTACACATTATCAACACCAGCTTACATATTAGGAACGAAACAGTGAAAAGTTACCAAGAGAACTTGAAGCGGAGACTGAGTGACGACTGACTACTCCCTTTCTATGCTGAGATCTTTTTTCTCCTTGTTTGTTTGTTTGTTCATTTATGGCTGCGTTGGGTCTTCACTGCTGCATGTGGGCTTTCTCTAGTTGTGGTGAGCGGGGGCTACTCTTTGTAACGGTGCATATGCTTCTCATTGTGGTGGCTTCTCTTGTTGTGGAGCACAGGCTCTAGGTGCGCGGGCTTCAGTAGTTGTGGCTCGTGCGCTCTAGAGTGCAGGCTCAGTAGTTGTGGCGCACGGGCTTAGTTGCTCCGTGGCATGTGGGATCTTCCCGGACCAGGCCTCGAACCCATGGCCCTGCGTTGGCAGGCAGATTCTCAACCACTGCGCCAACCAGGGAAGTACTGTGCCAACCAGGGAAGTCCTCTCTCCTTTCTTGAAACACATATTTCAAGTTCACAGCTCCTACCATTGCCGGGTGATTATGAAGAAATGTCCACTACTCAGAATCCCTGAGATCAGTGCTGGGTTTGGATACGGCCAACCATTACTAAAGATATTTAAAAGGTTCACACTACACCCAGAACCCTGAACACTGAAACCCTGCACTTGGCTACAGATAACTTTATATCAGAAAAAAATTGTATTTCTGCACAGTTCTTATTAGAAGGAAACTAGTTTAAAAAGCCACTTCCCCTCCCTCCTAAGATGACTTTTAAGAACACCTGTCGGGCACACAGCACAAGTGCTCACAGAGCTCAGTGAGCAAAGGAGAAGCCTTTCCTGCATCATACCGTAGGTCTGTACGTCATAGGGCTCGCTACCCTGTTTAATGTGCTCAAATGCTTCCGCGTCCTCTGCCTGGGCCTGGGCCGGGCCCTGCTCGGTGTGGCTGTCCGTGTCCACAGTCCTCAGCCTCTTGTGCACACGCTCATTGTGGTCACCCATGGAGCGTTCGTTGTCGGCCTGCCCAGGTTTCCTCTTAAAACTCTGCAGGAAATATGAGAAAATTCATCAGAACCTTGTCTGTAATGGCAAAAAGAGTAAAAATAATCATAATGTTTATCCTCAGGGGGCTGATTAAGTTAATCAGGTGTACCATACAAGAGTGGATTTCAGTGAAGCTGTTAATAGGAAGATCTCTAAATACATATACAGAGCAATCTCTATGATATACTTTTATACCTGAAACAAAGGCAGAGAGGCAAAGAAACACTCTTCACACAGGGAGGTGCACACACACAAACATCCATACATATACTACATATGCAGAAAGTCTCTTAGAAAGAAGACAAGACTGGCAGCACCAATATGCTCTGAGGATAGTCCCTTGGGTGGCTTGAGGACAGGAATAAAATGGAAGCTTTTTAGGGGACTGGTTTCTATATACTAATTCTGTATCACACTCATGAATAATACCCCATTTTAAAAAACTTTATTTTTAAAACACGAAAGAGGGAATTCCCTGCCAATCCAGTGGTTAGGACTCGTCGCTTTCACTGCTGGGGCCTGGGTTCAATCCCTGGTTGGGGAAATAAGATCCCGCAAGCCATGCAGTGCAGCCAAAATAAATAAATTTAAAAAAATTTTAAAATAAAACACAAAAGAGAACGGACAGTGAACAGAGTTAAGACTGGTTAGTCCTTGGCAACAACACACAACACCTGGTTTTTAGGCTCCATAATAAGAACTTAACAGGATAAGGGTGTGTGTGTGCGTGCGTGCCTACATGTGTGCATCTGTGTGCACGCACGTGTGTGTGAGCGTGCGTGTGCGTGTGTGTCTGTCCCCACACAGGGAAGAAGCCCCAGCTGGGAAAGCCCCATAGTCCTGGTCTGCTCGCCAAGGCTGACATCACGGTGAGACAGCAAAGGCTGGGAATTTGGTGGGTTTTTTTAAAAACCATTACATTTAGAACATCATTTTACATGCAGCCTTCACCTAAGTTTAGGTGAAGAGTGATAGAGACCTGTGTGTTTTTCCTGGTGTTTTTCTGAGAGGCCAACCGGGCAATGAAGTTGGATTCATGGCCTTCTGCCTGGTTTGCATCCGCAGCTCCACTGCCGTGTTCCTGTGAAATCCAAGCCACAAAGAATGAGGTGGAGGAAGCTGTGCAAGCATCTGGTTATCAACTACACTGTGCACAACTCCTCTCACCCATCTCATCTCACAGTCACATGCAGTTGGCACTCTATATCCGGGGACATGGAGGGCCCACTGCACTGCGCCAGTTTACATAAGGGACTTGAGCAGCCTCGGATTTGGGTATCCAGGGGGGGTCTTGGAATCAATCCTTCTTGGACCCCAAGGGACAACTGTGACCATACCTGCCTGTCTGCTCTGGAACTCACCCATGACTAAGGCTTGGCCTGTGGGCAGAAACGAGAGCATCTAGACCTGAGTCTGTTACCCTCTTGCGGGCCTTCGTTAGTTCCTTGTCTACCGGAGGTAATGGCTTACTTTGAAGGTGGGACAGACCTCGATTTAAAACCAGGCTTCATCACCAACCAGCTGGGTACTCTGGAGACTGTCATTTAACTTTACTGGGGCTTATTTAACTCACATATAAAATGGAGAACATAGGGACTTCCCTGGTGGCACAGTGGTTAAGAATCCGCCTGCCAATGCAGGGGACACGGGTTCGATCCCTGGTCCGGGAAAATCCCACATGCTGTGGAGCAACTAAGCCCGTGTGCCACAACTACTGAGCCTGCGCTCTAGAGCCCAAGAGCCACAACTACTGAGCCCACGTGCCACAACTCCACAAGAGAAGCCACTGCAATGAGAAGCACGCGCACAACGAAGAGTAGCCCCCGCTCGCTGCAACTGGAGAAAGCCCGTGCACAGCAACGAAGACCCAACGCAGCCAAAACTAAATAAAAGAAAAAGAAAAATGTTCTTAAAAAATAAAAAATAGGGCTTCCCTGGTGGTGCAGTGGTTGAGAGTCCGCCTGCCGATGCAGGGGACGCGGGTTCATGCCCCAGTCCGGGAAGATCCCACATGCCACGGAGCGGCTGGGCCCGTGAGCCATGGGCACTGAGCCTGCGTGTCTGGAGCCTGTGCTCCACAACAGGAGAGGCCACAACAGTGAGAGGGCCGCGTATCAAAAAAAATAAAAATAAAAAAAAATAAAAATAAAAAATAAAATGGAGAACATACAAAGAACAATAATATGTCTTATAGGGCCATGATGAAGACTTGCTAAAGTAATGAAATGCTCAGCACCTAATGGGTGCTCAGTAAATGGTTTGGAAGGGGGATGAGAAATATAAACCGTTGTAATTATTGCTGAGAAAGTAGGGGTGCAAAGAGGCCAAGGGACTTGTCCAGAGAAACCTCTGAGTAGCAGGCCCTCCAACTTCCAGGGCTCCTTCCAGGCTGCCAGTGCCCCAACTGGGCCACAAAAGACACATCACCCTACGTCAAGGAATGAAGAGGTAATTTCCATTTGAAATTAAAATGTTTAGAAGCCTGGTGAACAGTGAGGAAAAGGGAAGCACTACTAGATACTAGAGCCATACCAGTGCATGAAGTCTCAATTCAGCCCTTCTTTCCTTAGGAGCTTTCTAAAATATAATTTGAACTTGATTCTCCCACAGAGAGCTACACTCTAATAACTTTTTCTCATTAAGCACATCACTTAAATAAAGCGTGTAAAAGTATTCTGGGATTTGTTCCAGGAGGCATATAAAATAAGGTGTATGACCACTTTCTTAATGAACAGGAGATGATATTTTAGATGTCAACCACAAAAAAACATCACACACGAACCAATTACTGCTAAATAGAACTTGGTTTCGGACAGGGAGAAGAGGCCTCCCAAGGGGCAGCTGGCGAGGCAAAGAGGGCCCTTCACCTCCTTCCCCTGCTCCTTCTCGGGCGCGGCCCCCGCCAGCTCCACGGCATGCTCGCTCTGCACGCTCTCCAAGCCTGTCTGCCCGCAGGAGTCGTGCTCTTTCCTCTCCATAGCCTCTGGCACCTGCTGCTCCGTGTCAGACTTCTCCCCTTCTTCTTCTTTTTCCTGCATCTGCAGGGAAATCAAACAGAGCATTAACTGCTCTGGAGGAAGAAGATGAGGTGGGGGGCCCCCCTCACCAAGGGGAGTCTGCAGGGAGGGGATCGGCCAAAGCGGGTCTTAAACAGAAACGTAAAACTGCTTGGCAAAGTAGCCTGAGAGAGATTCCAGTGGGAAGAAGGTAATTTTTTCTCATCATCATTATTTTTAATTGAAGACAAGCCAGACCCGCCATGATACCTGAGGCTGGAGACCCTGGTCAACAGGGACGTCCTTCTCTGCACCTTCCTCACTGGTGTCCTTGTCCTCCAAAGACTGCTGCTGCTCCTCTGCGTTCTCTTCAGGATGCTGGGCAACATCCTTGTCTTGGTCGTCAGCTCCTGTGTCCATCTCTTCCTCCCCCTCCTCCTGGTCATCTTCACTGGAGCCTCCCTCAGGCTCGTGCTGACCCTGACCGTCATTCCGGTCAGCCTCAGTCTCTTCATTTATGTCTTCAGCTTCGTGACCTGCTTCTACAGTATCCATTGGTTTCTCTTTAATTTCCAAAGGATTCTCTTCTGGACAGATGAAACCAAAAGAAGGAACACAGAATTTAAAAACCAAACAATGTGATTTCTTAAGATGGGATATAGTTACACAAATGTCTTATTATTATTCTCGAACCAGGAGTTGGCAAACTATGGTCCTTGGGCCAAATCTGGCCATTCACATATTTCTGCAAATTTCTCCACAAGTTTTATAGGAACACAGCTGCACCAACCGTTTACCTATGTGTTTACCCCATCTATTCTGTATTACCTATGGCTGCTTTCACACTGTAAGAGCAGAACTGAGTATTTGCGGCTCTGTTGCAGCTTATGACCTGCAAAGACTGTATGTTTATTATCTGACCAACGCTTCACAGAAAAATTTTGCCTACGTCTGCTCTTAACCGCACTTACATATTGCATACAACTGTTTAGATGGTGCATTTCATTAAAGAATAAGTAATCCACTAAAAAATCCTAAAAGCCACCACAACAATAGGAATATTTTAGAACAGATAGGAAATGCCAGTCTAATTTTCAATTATCACTGGGAATAATTGGTAGACATCATTCTTTACCATACACAGAAAATACAACATATATTCAAATGGGAACAATCTTATTTAAACATTTTGTTTATTTAAAAGAGCTTTTCTATACTTTGGGCACTTCAGAAATCAGTTATTTTGTTACCAAATAATTCTTTAAAATAATTGCTTCTTCAGATTCACAGAGAGAACTAGTGGTTACCTGTGTGTGTATGTGTGTGTGTGTGTGTGTGTGCATGTGCGGGGGTGTGTGCGTGTGTGTTGGGGGTAGGAGAGTGGGAGGTACAAACTATCAGGTGTAAGGCTCAAGGATGTATTATACAACATGGGGAATAGAGTCAATATTTTATAGTAACTGTAAATGGAAAGAACGGTATAAAACTTAAAAAAAAACATCTTTTTAATAGTAATTGCTTCTTAATTTATGTACACAGTAGCTTAAAACGAGCCTGGATATTTTTCTAGGGCAAATGGCTTATTAGATTCTCCGTGGATTTTAATTTTATGCTTGGTTGTTGAATTTAAGGTTGAAGTATAAGATTCCAAAATTATAAGTTAATGGAACTGCCTTAGAAGCAGCAGCTTATACTACATTTAAAAAGTAAACTAGAGGGCTTCCCGGGTGGCGCAGTAGTTAAGAATCTGCCTGGACATGGGTTCGAGCCCTGGTCCGGGAAGATCCCACATGCCGCAGAGCAATTAAGCCCGTGAACCACAACTACTGAGCCCACGTGCCACAACTCCTGAAGCCCATGTGCCTACAGCCCATGCTCCACAACAAGAGAAGCCACCGCAATGAGAAGCCTGTGCACTGCAACGAAGAGCAGCCCCCGCTCACCGCAACCAGAGAAAACCCACACACAGCAACAAAGACCCAACGTAGCCAAAAAATAAAAATAAATTTATTTAAAAAAAAAAGTAAACTAGAGATTCACAGAGCGAAGACTGTTCTAAGCACGAATTACCAAATACCTTAAACGTGAGAAATGCATTTAAATTTATGAGCCATATACTCACCTAGATTTAACAGATGTTAACATGTTACAAGTGTATCAAGCTTGTCACTTATTTTTAAGAAATAAATGGTTCTGGACACAGCTGTCTGGATTCTGGATGCCTTTGCCCTTCCTACTTCCTCAGAGCTCATAACCTGAAGTTATTGTATATTATTCCTTTCTATGTGTTCGTACATTTGATGTATCCATAAACAATATACAGTACTGGTTCTTGTATTACATCTCCACCTAAATGGTACCTCTCATTAATTCTTTTGTAACTTGCTCTTTTTTTTCCCCCAATATAGTGTTTTTAATAGCTTTCTACATATATAACTGATTCACTAAGAAGCAGAGCCTGGCTGGCACCACCTTTCATCTGGTTACCCACCACGACGGGGGCTCTCTATTTCAGCAGCACCACATACACAAGCTTCTGATACTAGACAGCACCCCTAAGGACTCACACTCGGGTTGAACAGTGGGTGACAGAGGTGCTAGAGTACTGCCATGCCAAGTGATTTCTTCTGGGATTATTCCATTTCACACCCCATGATGATTTCATATTTCAAACACACAACATATGCAAAACAATCAACAACTTTCCCAGGAAAGCTGTGACTGGGCTCCATGAGAGGCCTGGCTCTACCTGGACTGCACGGTGTTTACATCAACCCATGAGACCGGGCACATGGTGACACTGTGGGGCGATGGAGCTGTGTGTAACAGCACCGCCTGGGACAGCAGCACTGAAACACAGGATAGGAGATGACAGGAGTAACAGACACCTGCTGGTTTACAAGCTTTAGGTCTACCTAGAGGAGAAACACAACAAAGAAAAAGCGAGGAATTTTATCAAACTGGAATTGTGCTGACCAGACACGATAATGACCTGGCCATGACACTGGCCTGAAGAGAAATCTGTTACTGCTCAGTTTCAGTGACTTCCAACGGGCTCTTTAGGTTTCGAAAGACACACCTTCTCCATCTTCACAGTCTGTGTCCCCATCACCATCCTTGTCTTCACTGTCTAGGCCCAAGTCATCTGGAAGGTCCAAGGCCTCAGGTTCGGGCAGCTTTTCCTGATTGCCATGGTAAGGGTCTACCTCGTCCTCATCATATTCCCTCTTTGGACAACGGAGAGAACAGGAAAAAAAAATTAAAATGAACTTTTAAAAAGTGTAGCATTCAGGGGCTTCCCTGGTAGCACAGTGGTGGAGAGTCCGCCTGCCGATGCAGGGGACACGGGTTCGTGCCCTGGTCCGGGAGGATCCCACATGCCGTGGAGTGGCTGGGCCCGTGGGCCGTGGCTGCTGAGCCTGCGCGTCCAGAGCCTGTGCTCCGCAGCGGGAGAGGCACAGCGGTGAGAGGCCCGCGTACCGCAAAAAAAAAAAGTGTAGCATTCACATACAATCAGCTCAAAGCACAGCTGACTCTTGAGCAACACAGGTCTGCACTGTGTGGGTCCACTTACATGGACCACTTATGCAAGCTTTTTTTCAATAAATACGTGCTACAGTGCCACACAGATCCATGGCTGGTGGGACCCGCGGATGTAGAGGGCCAGCTATAAAGTTACACAAAGATTTCCAACCCTGCAGATGGTCAGTGCCCCCAGCGCCTACATTGCTCAAGGGTCAACTGTAGTTATGCTGAGAGAATACAGTGTCTCTTCCCTAAACTTACCAGCACACATTACAATTTTACCAATATTTTTTGAATTTTCATGTTGGAATTTCAAGTTTCACTTTCAGTGCACATTCTCCACTGATAAGAGGTGCGGCGTTATTTAATCTCAAAGAGGACACGGAAGTTTATGGGAAGAAATACAGAAAAGGACCACAGGTTTTAGCTTCCAAACCACAGCATGAGTCCAAACAGCATGAAGACCACCTCATCGGTAACCAGTAGTTAGATATTTTATGTCTGGTTAAGAGGCTCTGTTACACATTCCCGTATGAGGCAATGGGAAAACAAATGATAAGCAGGAAAAAAATGTCTTGAGACACCCCAGGAGCTGTGCGTTGCAGTGGCCCTGGCCTTGAGTCAGGAGAGCAGGTTGGTTTTGAATCCTCATTACCTCATCTATTTGTTCATTAATTTTGTCTTGGCCTTGCCCATCATCAGCTTCTGCTTCTTCCTTTTCTTCCTTCTTATCTTGCTGGGTTTTATCTCTGTTTGACTTCCCAGTATCCAAGTTGTCATCTTTAGCAACAAGTTCAGGATCTTCCTAAATATTAGAGGAAGAAAAAACACAAAGATCCTCGCTCTCAATATGAAAACTGCTTTCACATAGGGTGACCCTACCTAACGCAGCTCTCAGACACATATTGGGCCAACCCCATGGAAACATCCAGCCGACAGGGCATATGTCATCCTGGAGGGAACGTGCAGGTCTGCCCGGATGGCAGCAGTGAGGGCACGTGTGTGAACAGCGGGGGTGGGGAGTTGTCGTGAACATGAAGGTCAGGATACTCTTTTAGCCGTGAAGACAATCGATAACCTAGATAGCAGAGGAAAAAGAAGAAACAGAGATGGAAGAAACAGAAGAAGAAAAACCAAGACAGAAAAGGACGAGCAGTGAACAGCAGGGAGTGGTATTTGGGAGGAAGACTGCCTCCTCTCAACCTAGGGACTATGTGATGGAGGGAATCTTTTAATTACCTCATCCATTCCTGGTCCTGTTTCTTCAGTTTTACTGTCTTCTTCCTCCTCATCTTCCTCACCGTCGTCATCACCCCAAAGCCTCTCATCTAGTTTGTCAGCTTCCTCACCATTCAGATCGCCCATCTGTTTATCCAGGTCTCCACCCTCACTATCTGATTTCTCATCATCCTCTTCTGAAAGGGAAGAAGGCGATGAGCTTAGTTCGGCAGATCCCCAAATTGATCTGTTCCTGTGTATGTAGGAGAGGCAAGGGCCGGGCAAGGGTCCTACCTGGGATTTACTGCCTGTTTCTACAGAACACCCTAGAGGAGATGCTTTATTTTTTTTATTTTTTTATTTTTTTAACATCTTTAGAGGAGATGCTTTAGATCTCCTCAAATAGTCCTACTGTGTTTTGCAGACTGTTTGGAGGAGGAAGGAGGTCTGTGACGTGTTATGTCAGCAGACTGTAAGGAGGGTGGTGGAACAGCTGTCAGGATGCCTAGTTCTGGTGCTGGGAGAATGTTCATTATGGGACTTCAGCAACCTCACTGGGTTTTGGTTTCTTACCTGGGAAATGATGAGGCGGGACTAAGAAATTTCCAAGGTTCCTCCCCATCTCCAACATACTGTATGTCAATGATTTTACCCAGCATCTCAAATCATGTGTCTAGCTCAATTAACCAGAATTTTCTTGCCTTTGTCTTCATTCAAGGTCTACTTTGACAAAGGTTATACCCTTAAATGCTACTTAGGCATGCATACATTCTTCTACTCTGAGGTCACGTATCATTTCTGCAAGGCATTCACTTAAAGACACTGTATTTCAGATTAAATTTTGGACAGAAATTGAGGGCAATAGTTGAATTGCGGTTCAAACACGACAGATGATAATGTGCTGTAAGAAATATTATCCAATAATTTTCAATGACATGTAATGTTCATAAGCTAAATGAAAAAAGCAGACTATAGAACCATTTATGGTCTCTGCATCTATATATATACATGCAAGAAATGGAAATAACCCAAAACTGATTAAATGATTTATTTGGGTGGTAGGCCTAAAGGGTATCGATTTGGATTCTCCATTTTTGTTCCAAATCATCTACAACAAATGTCTACTAATTTTGTAATTAGAAAAAAATATATATTAAAAAAAACCTCCCCAGAACAATTTAACTTGAGCTGAGAGCCAAGCTCTGCTAGGGATCATCTCCCTGCTCTTCTGGATTTCCCTGAAGGACACTACGGAGTCACTGATCTGGCACACGAGGCAGCCAGAACATCAGAGTCAGTGTCGCCGCTTACTCAAGAGCAGAATCTCCAAAATGGACTAGAGACTTCTGACCGGAGGTGGGGATGGCACAGGCAGGTACTGACGCTTCCACCTGCAGTTATGCAGAGTAACCAACTTGTTCCAACGGAGTATAATAGGCTCCTTATTGGAAATATGTAATTTCCTGTATAAAATATTTTTCAAGAATAAGAATGAAGTGACAGATAATCTCAAACCTTGTTCTTCAAGCTCCCCATCATGCATTTTCCCATCAAAGTCTTCTGACATCTCAATGGCATTATCCTCGCCCTTAATGTCTGATTTTGAGTCAGGATCCTCTTTATCCTTTTCTTGACCCTTCTGAAATGTATCTTCTGCCTATATCAAAAAGCATTATAGAAACATAAATGCACACTGTAACATTAGTAATGTTTATTCAGGTCTAAATAGAATATATAAATGTCAAGATTAATGGTATAAAATTATCTCTGGGGAGAGAAAATACACATAATTTGTGACTTGCTTTAACATTTCTGTAATTAATTTCCAGTTTTATTACATTTTTTGTTAGAGAATATAGAATTTTGTTGAGGTTTTCTCCATGAGAATTGTTTGTTTGTGGGATCTTAGTCTCCTGACCAGGGATTGAACCTGGGCCACCTGCGGTGGAAGCACAGAGTCCTAACCACTGGACCGCCAGGGAATTTCTCTGAATTTTTTTTTTAATCGATACATATTAAAAAAGAGGGGCTTCCCTGGTGGCGCAGTGGTTGAGAGTCCGCCTGCTAATGCAGGGGACACGGGTTCGTGCCCCGGTCCGGGAGGATCCCACATGCCGTGGAGCGGCTGGGCCCGTGAGCCATGGCTGCTGAGCCTGCGCGTCCGGAGCCTGTGTTCCGCAACAGGAGAGGCCACAACAGTGAGAGGCCCACGTACCGCAAAAAAAAAAAAAAAAGACTATGCATTCTCTGTAGGGTAAAAGAAATTTCATCAGTCTTATTATATTGCCCATAAATTTAATATCTGTTTTGTCACTTTGATCTCTCATAGACATTACCCAACTGTGAATGTAATTTTTCCCCCTACTACTTTCCTTCTTATTTTATTTTTTTATTCAAGTATAGTTGATTTACAATGTTGTGTTAGTTTCAGGTGTACAGCAAAGTGATTCAGTTATATATACACACACACACATTTTCAGATTCTTTTCCATTGTAGGTTATTACAAGATATTTAATATAGTTCCCTGTGGTATACAGCCAGTCCTTGTTGTTTACCTGTTTTATATATAGTAGTGTGTGTCTGTTAATCCCAAACTCCTAATTTATCCCTCGCCAGTGAATGTAATTTTCTTCACTTTTCCTTAAACTATATATTCCTACATAATCTACACTGTATTTGGGGCAAAAGATTCACATTGTTATCTGTTTCATTATAGCTGAATTTTTAAAGTTCTTTTTTTAAGATACAAAAGTAGTAAAATCTCACTTAAAAATTTCTAAGCAAAACAGAAAGAGTAAAGTTCCTCCAGCACCACCATCCTCCAAAACTCCCAAAGAAATTACCACTGGTGATGTTCTGGCACATGCTTTTGTCCGTAAGTACACCAATAGGTACTTAGAAATATAGATGGGGTATACCAGTACCGGCCTCCCGCATCTTCTTCAACAAAAAGGGATTATACGCTTGACAAACTGTTTTGCCATCTGCTTTTTTATTTAAGTTAAAAAATGTCTCCTAGATATATTTCCATGTTGTCACTTATAAACCTATCTCATTATGTTTAATTATAGTATTGCTCTTCATGAATAGTATCATAATTTAAATAATTCACAATTTTCACCAGTATAAATAATGCTGTAGTGAGCATCCTTGTATAAACACACTCCATTATACACATATTTATTATCTTGGACCCTTACTAGCATTTGTACAAGAAAACATGGAATTCCTAGGTCAAAGAACACACACAATTTAAAATTTATTAGATACTGCCAAATTGTTCTGATAGCTTTCTATCCCACTTAATGTGTTTTACATTGGATTTGTACTTTCCTGTTAGGTTTACTTTTTCCTTTATTTTTCCATTAACGAAGTACTGGGTACTAATTAAGTTAAATTTGAGAAATACAGAAAAAGGCCAAAATAACAATAATGTGTATGTTATCTATGTATATATATCCACATACATGATGTACATGAGAGCTATGCCACATAAACGCTAGCATTACTCTTTTTTTTTATTTCTTTCCAATTTTCCCTTCAAAGGAAGAGAAGAAGCTTGGATTGGTTTGTTCCTTTATTTTTAATAAGTATAACCATACCTTAAATAGAAATTTATGCAGTGCTCTAAATTTAGAATATAAGTGATAAAAAGTAATTCCACTACCTCTTCTTTCTCCAAGTCATGGTTGATTAATCCAAATAAAAGTAGTGTGTTTAAAAAAACACTCCCAAATGAGATTGGAATTTTAAAAAGCAACACAACAATCTTAGTCCAAAGCATCTAAATATTTCAAAAGCATTCTTGATTCCAAATAAAAAAGGATATAGATTTTAAAAATTTCACCATGTCTTAAAGACATACAACAATAAAACCTATTAACAGCAAACACTGGCATTGTTGTTTAATGAAATTATCACTTAAAATAAGCCAAGCTTTTTGTCCCTAAATGAACCACTACCAAAAATGCTCTCTTAAACGTCATCAGCAAAAGTTTTCCCATTCAAAATAAAAAATTTTTAAATCATTTCCCTCCCAAATTATAACTACAACTAATGACTGCACTGCAAAAGTTCCTTTCTGTGGTCTTTAAGCTTTTAATTTACATCCACTCCCTAAGCTCCAGTATTCTTAGGTGCCTAGATCACAGTTTGAAAACCATTAACCTAGTAGAAAAACCATTTATATATGTAATTTAAATAGTGAAAAAGGAATAAGTTTCTGTAAACTATATATACATATTTCATGCCTGTGAAAACGTACCTGTTCTTCATTTTCTATCTGGTCACTCACATCCTTCACGCCCTCACCTTCCCCAATCCCACCTCCCTCGTAGTCATGGAACTCAGTCGCTCCCTCTCCCGCTGAATCTTCCATAAATTCTTTGGGCAAGCAAAATCCCTCAAAAATAAAAAGAGTGAAAGTTAGGTAAAAAAAGCAATAAAGAAGGGATTTCCAGTCCTGCTGCAGGAGAAAATACTGTAAATAAATGATTAATTCTTTTCCAGCTCAGTATTTTAAATCTGATTGAAGTACAGTAGACTTTTGTTGGTGACAACAATTATGCAGTTTCAAAGCTTGACATCAGATTTTATATACAAGGTTTTGAGACACTGTGGAGGCCTCTGGCGTGTAGTAATCTGTCATTTGCCAAGACAAAAATTTGAATGAGGTATACATTAGGACGGTATTTAAGGAGCAAGTTATGGGGTGGGGTGCAGCACAGAAACTCTCAGTGTCTAAATCCCAAAGGGGTTTTGTCCTTTACTTCTCAAATTAGTAAGCCTGAAAGGAAAGAGAGAAGACATGTAACCCTGGAGATACAGCAACTTGAAAGCAGATGCTACAAGTGAGAGATTTCCTTTCCTTTCATTGAAGAAAATTTTGTGTGATGCTCCTCAAATAAAGTCATGTTAATTACAATACAAAAAAACATGCCTTCCCCTTCAGCTCTTGAAGTAAATCTGTCACTTTCCGGGAACATGCTGTATCTGGCCTGGGCTGTTTGCTGCCAAGGCACCTGGCACCCTGGCACTCAGCATGGCAATGGGGTCTAGAGTTAAGAACAAGGTCAGACACAGCAAGACTTGTGAAGAGTTAATAAAACTGTATTTCATGTCAGAAAATAGCCCAGGGCTTCCCTGGTGGCGCAGTGGTTGAGTCCGCTTGCCGATGCAGGGGACACGGGTTCGTGCCCTGGTCCAGGAAGATCCCACATGCCACGGAGCGGCTGGGCCCGTGAGCCATGGCCACTGAACCTGTGCGTCCGGAGCCTGTGCTCCGCGACGAGAGAGGCCACAACAGTGAGAGGCCCACGTACCGCAAAAAAAAAAAAAAAAAAAAAAAAAAAGAAAATAGCCCCAAACCAAGTATCAACTACTAGTGTGTGGGACAAAAGTGAACAGAAAAAGAAGAAAATAATGGCTCTCAATCAGAAATTTTATCAGAGAAATTACAAGCTATCAAGCCAATCTAAGGATGAGAATGTACAAGTAAGCTGTCAACTAACAAGAACAACAAACACTGATTGTGACTTAGTTACACAGAACTAGCTTCCTATGGATTAAGTGCTTTAATCACAGCCAAGATCTATTATCGGTTTTTTTTGGCCTCGCCATGTAGCATGCGGTATCTTAGTTCCCAGACCAGGGATTGAACCTGTGTCCCCACTGCACTGGAAGCTCAGAGTCCTGGACAACCAGGGAATTCCCCTAAATCTATTATCCTAGCACTATGTCTAACCTACTTTCAAGTTCCCTCAGCACTCCCCAGAGAGGATAGGAACACAGTTCGGACATTTAAATGAATGGAAAGGCAAACTCACCTTCAGGACATGTATTCTTAGAAAGTCGATTAAAAAACACATTTTGGTTAAGACAGTGTGATACACTATTTAAAAAAAATATGTTTAGATGCAGGCAGAATCAACCATAAAGGAAGGAGATTCAGGATGTCCTTCTGCAGGTCACGTTACTACAGTGGCTGCAGCTGGGACAGCCACTGAGCTCCCAACACTTTCCTTTCATCAAAACCACTTCTGCCCCACACCACTACCCCCAAACACACACAGGTCTGACAGCCCACAGTCATTCTAGAACTTGTCAGACAAGAGAAATGGTGCAAGTGGACAAACGTAGCTCATCCAAATCTCAGGGCACCCTCAACATACACTGTCCTGCCACTGTCTTCTACATGCAAGTGTTTCATCTAAGAAGTGATGGGATGTAAGACTGGCTCAGTGCCCATCAGATAGAGGGGGCAAATCTGAGAGGTGTTCATTTATCCATTACTCAACAAATGTACGTATTTATCCTCTAGATACAAGGCACGGGCTTGCTCCCATTTTTTTTTTTAACTATTTCCAGTATTCCAGATACTCAGAACTAAGAACTCTTGACCGTTTACAAGAAGCCTAGACCTCACCTTCAGTTTGTAAATTCCTATCTTCCTCAAGTGCATCTCACCTATACTATACTTAGATTCAGAAAAGATCTTAAAATACTAGGGACAAAAACAAAAACAACAACAAAAAACTATATACTTAGTTGAAGATGATTCTCACAAAAATGCAAATCTCATTTGTAAAATGAGGAAACTGAGGCTAAGTGACTCACTCACTCTGAGTCCCAGAACCGGATACCCTTGTGACTGGACTTACCACGCCAGGCTGGGCCTGTTAGTTTTGACTGCTGTTCTTGAATTCCAAGGGTAGGGTCTACAATCTCTATAACTTCAGTGATTTTCACAGCACTGGGTACATGGCTGAATGAATGAATGACTGCCCTATTAAAGACGCCCCTCCTAACATTAAGAGCCCCGTTACCATTTCAGCATGCGTTAGTATAAACGACCGAAAACTTAACTGCCTTAAGGATTCATCTATCCTACAAGTCTAGCTCAGAGTTATCAGAAGAAGATTTCAAATTGGAGACCAGGAAAGAAGGGGGTGAACAGAAAGCAGCAGCCTTTAGACAGACTCTGGAGTCTAGAGAGCTCCCCAGTGAGGGACCTTCAGGTTCCAAACCTTTAGTGGAAAAAGGATTAGTAAAAGGAGGTCAGACAAAGCAGTAAAAAATCCACAGGGAGAGTGGGAATTCCCTGGTGGTCCAGTGGTTAGGACTCCGCGCTTCACTGCCGAGGGCCTGGGTTCAATCCCTGGTCAGGGAACTAAGATCCCACAAGCTGCGCAGCCAAGGGAAAAAAAGTTGTATTTTGTAATTGTCTTAATACCTTTGAGAGAATGCGTTCCACCTACAAAAACATATAAACAAATAAATAAATTTATATTTATATATATATTTATTTTACATATATATATATATATATATATATATAAAATACACAGAGCAAATCACCTCCTGCTATTTATGAAGGCCCAAAATAAAATCCCATCAAACCATACACTAATGGGTATGGAATACATGGGTACCTGCTTCCCCATGGTGCTCCACATAAATAGTCCTTACCTTCTGGGCCAGCTCCGTAAAGATCTGGGCAAGCACAGAGAGCAACTTTGCAGTGCTGCGGTGAGTTGCCAAAGACACGGTCAGGAAGAAGAGGACGAGGTCTGAGTACCTGGAGAGCATGGGCACCAGGCGCACCAACAAGCGGCAGGACTGGGCGAAGAACTGGGGGCAAAACAGATCAGAAGGCCTGCTCACACCATGTCTCCTCTGGGGTGACTAGGTAGTGACGGTGGTTGTACCACCTTGTCAACGTAGTAAAGGTCACTAATGGTACATTTTATTTACACACACGTACATAACACCTGCTCACTGAGATCTCTTCCTTGTTTACACAAACCCTCAGAAGACTACACTTTAAATTCTTAGTCACTTAAGTCTCAGTTAGTTAACAAGGTTGTTTGGTGTTTAAAAAATATGTTTATATACAAATTCTACTGGGAATCAGAGTTGGCACTGGAGGCAATACTACAGAATAACACACAAGTCCTCAAAAATAAGTTGCTTCTCTGGACTTATGGAGATGATAACGTCATCCTCTTCTGGCTTATTGTGAAGGGACAGGTGTTTGCATAGTACGGCCATTAAGCCTTAGTTATGGCGGCAACATCCACCATTAACATCAAATACCCAGGAGTATGTGAATAGGATGTGAAAGAACCCCAAGATAATGGATATTCTGTATTGGCAGCATTTTTGCACCTATGCGTCTTACAACTGTAATCCTTAGCCAGCAAGCCCTAAGCTTTCCAAAGTTTGTCAGTGAGGTTTACATGTATAAAGACATCAAGAGATTCTTAGTGATTTTGCCGAGGAGGCCTGCTTTGGGACCACCACATGGAGCGAGGTGAAACCCCCTCTGCCTCTGCTCAGCCCACTTGGACAGCAAGAAGCCTATAAGGAACCACTGGTTACCGTGTGCTTCGCTGCTGTGCCATCCTCGCCAGACGATTTCAGCCTCTCCAAGAGCTCAGAGACAGCAGAAATTATTTTCTGCACATGCAAAGTGCTCACATCGGCCCAGAAGTCATCCTCTAAGAGTTTTGTTAGATGTCCTGACTGCAGTCTCTCAAAGCCTGCTGCCTCTTTCATTCACGGAAAAGAATGACAAGGTAAATAACAGAAAACAAACTCTTTTCATCTCCATTCATCCGATAATCATTTCCCACATCTGGCCTTAAATATTTAGCCACAAAAATAGATCATCAAAATAAAAATTAAATCAAATAAGAAACTAGTATTTTCCTGATCTCAGACATACCATCTTCTTGTGGTCTTGTTTGGTGAGTGTTCTCCTCTGTTTTTTTACTATTTCTTTCTGCTAAGTTCTGGATGGCACAAAGGATGGCCCGGATGGCAGTTTCCATTTGCTCTGAAAAATCCTCCACAAACCCTTCATCCAGCATTTGGTTTCCTAGTAAAGTAACATGGTGCAGAACAAATTTTTAAAAACTCAGTCATTTGTTTCAGTGCCTCTGGAAATCATTAACAATCCTCATTTGTCATTTTAACAAACAGCCACCTTGTAAACACCTGCTATGGTTGAGCCACTGTCAAGCTGTGCTGGGTACAAAGAAGAAAGAGACCCATTCCCAGCCTAGGTAAACCTATAAGGCTATTGTCTTGTATTAAAACAATTTTGCTAAAAGAATGCCAAAAATATGAAAATAGTTAAGATGGAATATATGAACACCAACTTAGTCCAAACATTAGCCAGCAGGTTTCCAGTCTAAGGAAGAACTTTCTGAAACAGCCAGTGAGCCTGTGCTGTCTACTTACTCATATGCTATAAAGTACGCAATGTGATGGCAATCCAGAGGCAAGGTTCTCAAACAAAAGAGGCAACAAAAGTTAAGAGCTATGTGTTCCAACTATACTTCCCTGCCTTGGAACCCTGGACAGATCCGTCTGGAACAAAACACAACGTGTCTTTAGGACAAGTTGGACTTAAATCTATAAGATGTCATTCCTACACTGAGCTTTTACTCCCTTATTTTTGTTTTGTTTTTGTTTTTGTTTCTTGCGGTACGCGGGCCTCTCACTGCTGTGGCCTCTCCCACTGCGGAGCACAGGCTCCGGACGCGCAGGCTCAGCGGCCATGGCTCACGGGCCCAGCCGCTCCGCGGCATGTGGGCTCTTCCCGGACCGGGGCACAAACCCGTGTCCCCTGCATCGGCAGGCAGACTCTCAATTGCTGTGCCACCAGGGAAGCCCTTACTCCCTTATTGAACAATAGCCCTCACCTTCTTGGCTGCCTGGGGTAAGCAGATATGTCTTCCAAGTAGTGAAGTCATCTGTGGCTTTACTGATCTCTCTTCTTACATATTCCAGGCTCTCGACTAATGCCATTTGTGGGTCTATTTGCTCACCCTCTACCCCTGGAAGAATGAACAAGGACTCTAGGCCTTGCAAATGAGCTGACACCTGGGAAAGGCAACTCAGCCCAGAAGAGCAAACTTCAAAATCTTTCCTGCAACAACAGAAATGCCATAATGTTGAAGGAAGGTGCTAACACACACACACACACACACACACACACACACA